ACGTCTTATTAAATTTTCACTGACAGCCCAAATTCAGCCTAGACCCATATTCACCGTCTATTAGACGTATATATGTAGTCGTTTAATAGTGGTCTAATTGATTAGCTGTTTGGACTCTCATTCTGACGGCACCCAATCACTGCAGAAGATCTATTGGTGAACAAGTGATGGAATGCTAAATTTCTCCAAATCTGTTCCACTGAAGAAACAAACTCATCTATATCTTGGATGGCATGAGGGTGAGTACATTTTCATTTCTGTGTGAATTATTCATTTTAAGATTTTTTTTTCATAATAATAATAATAATAAAAAATAAACAATAAATAAAAGATTCATAATAAATTAAATATTAACAACTAAGACTATGAAATTAATGTGGCTAGTCTTAGCTGGATTATTTTGGTCTGGAAGAATTTGATAAGAAATATTTGGGTTTGTATTGAAATCTATGACTTTTGATTCCAGACTTTGATATCTTGGCAAGCATATGCAGTTAACCATTATATAAATGTTATTATTCAATTGATTTGTACTTCTATTTATTGCATATGGTAAAAGTTAATGTTTTTATTATTCAAGAATGTATGCATTATTCCATATTTGACACATTTCTGCTTTTTCTCTTTTTTCACCATTTCTTTATAGATGCTATTTTTTCCACTCACACTGTGCTCCATTTATTTCACTCCTAATTTATTTTAACATGTTTATTGTTCTATGTCTACCTCATTACAGGCTCTGAATAGGTCTGTTGTATCCAGTTGCTTGTGGTTGGTGTTTGAGCATGTGAGCATGTACATTATGTGAGCATGTTTGTACAAGGAAGAATGCGATGAGAGGGGAGGAGAGAAAAGTACATGTAAAAAGAAAATATTAGGAATGTAGAAGACCAAAAATGAGCTGGAGCAACAGCAATTTGTCAAATAGGGACGGAGAGCATCTGGTTCTGATGGAGAGCAGATTGATGTAGTCCAGCACTTGGGCTTATGGGTAATGTAGTTCTAATTGAATTGTATTTTTGGCTGTGAAGAGAAAAATGAGTAAAAGGAAGTCATAGAATAGTTTCCAAAGTGGTTAAAGTGGAAATGGTTTTAACGTGCCAACTCTGCTCTTTTTTTGTTTAGTTTGACCGAAAAAATTTTCCTCGTCAGACTCCTGCTATGCAGAATTAAGTGTAGAGAACTGATCTCTCTCATTTTTATGGCCTATTTGCACTTATTCACTTAATTTTTCTTAATTGTTTAAATTGCTTTGAACATTTTTGACATGCACATGAAGATTACTCCAAAACTTAATACACGTATATTATTCCTACTATTCCTGTGGTATTTTCAGTTATAATCAGTGATGGTGCTAATGCTGTTTAGAATGAGAAAAGTTTACGTACGTGGCAAGCAAAACCCAATTACATCTTTTATGTGTCTCAAGTGTTGTTTACGTTCACCTCATTCTTATTTTTCACCCTGTTTTCTAAGAAAAATCCAGGGTTTATAGATTTTGTCTCTCTCTATAATTCATTTTCATGAGTTCAGTGGTTCTTTTCAGTTTTTGCCTCGTATCAGTGGCAATGCATTAATGCGAAACAAAGGAGAGAAAGGGCTGTTGTATAAATCCAGATCTGGCTTCTGAGACTTCTTTTTTTCTGTATAAAACTTTAAAGGGCTTGTTGCATTATTCACCACTTCAACCACAGGACACACACACATGCTTATATTGAACCACTGAGAGCCTGCTTTTTCTTCTTTGTGTGTGTGTTTCGGTTCTCTGAATGTTATCGGTGATGTTTGACTTTTAATGGCTGTAGAGAGTGTGTGGTGATTTAACAGGACTTGGGGGAGTATTTGGCTGAGCTTGGTCAGTGTGCTAGATATAATTATGTACTTTTAGCAAGTAGTTATAATGTTGAATCATGCATGACAGTGAAAGATGGTCTTTAGAAATCCACCAGGACATTCACACGTTCACGGCATGTGCTCACACACTGGCACGAGTTAGCGTTATTCTGTTTCCACTGGTTCCATGGTAGCAAATCTGAGTCCAGTCAAACTTTACATTCCAGGTCCATGTGGGACATCATCATCAAATAAGAATAATTTACCTTACAGGATGATTCATGGATATGCTGTTTATTACAGCAATAAACACATATTACTTTGAGAGGTTAAAGAGTAAGTAAATTGGAGAAAAAGCGAGAGAGAGAGTGGGAAATATCTGGCTCTTATTTGAGCGTCAGTGTTGGATCAGCAAACACCAGGACCCAGCTGTACTCCCACATCACTGTGTTAAAACACACACACACACACTGGAAAAGGAGTCCTGCTTGCCTCCGTTTAAGAGTTTAATATGCTAAACTGTAAATTTTATACACCTACGTCAAAGACAAGCTACACACTTCAACGCCAATTACTTACAATGTAAATGAGGAACAAAACTGATTTGATTTATTTCTAATTTTCATCAATCCTTTTTGTAGACAAACTTTTTCTGTAAAGTCTAACATTTAATTTTAGCTTCACTTTTAATTTAATATATTTAACATAGATTTTCAATGTACTACCCAAGTTTGGTTTGTTATGATTTCAATTAAATGATGAGTTACACAACTGGGTGCAACAAGCACAAAATCTTTGTGAGATTTGTGTGTGTCTGGGTATGAACTGAAAAACAGAGCAGCATATTTTTTGTAGACATGACCTTCTGTCTCCCTCTCTCTCATTTTTAATGTGGTAGAATAATTGAATTATTGAAAGCCCTCTGTCTCATTCTCAGCTATTTATAGAGAGATTAAATTATACAGAATTTTGTATCCAACTATTGTGCTAATGGTATGCTAACATAGTGTCGTACTGCACATTTTAAACTGGTGTGATTGTACTTTATATTCATGATTATGTTTTCACGCTGGTTTGCTGCACTGCAAATCACTGCTGTTTTTATACTGGTATACTAGCAGCACATGTTTTACACTGCTTCGCACAACTGGAAAAAGATTCTGGCAGTGGGTTTATAGAAAAAAACAAAAACAAAAAAACAAGCCGAGAACAAAACTAATACGCCAGATAAATGTAAAAAACATTTTCAGTAAAAACACAAAGGTGATTTTGTTCTGAAAGTCCTCATAGATTAGACGTCAGAAACTCCTGCTGCGATACAGTACACTGATGGTGAACGGTACATGCCAGGGCTTTTTTGCACAGATGAACAGCATGAAGGAATTCTGTGTGGGCGTCTTATGGTTTGCTGGTTGTCATGCTTCCTGTTGGAGCTGTTGCTGTGGCAGCAGAGCTTTCCCAGGCGATTTGGAAGGCATCTCTGTGCCCGACCGATCGATTGGTGGAAAAGTGTCAGCCAGCAGGCTTTTACTGATGATGTCATCATTATTGATCTGTCCGTGGGCTGAAATGAAACTAAATAGAAAACGCTACCTTTCTTCTTATGCATGTGAATGCAATCACTGCAGCAACGCAGCACAATGTTGTTTATGAACCGAAGTAGTTTATTCAGCTTTTGATGCTTTTTGTGTGAATGTGTGCTTGTACAGTAAACAATATTCAGTAAAATACTACAAAAAAAAAAAAATAATAATAATATAGAGAATTTAGCCTATTTTATACTCAAGACATACTTTTGTTAAACTGTTTAACTTTTGTTAAACTGTTTTTAAAAGGCAAAATAAGGCTATTTGAAATTTACGGTGAAATCAGTAAAAGCATGTTCTCGAAAGTCCTTGAATGATAGGCCTACATCACTGATTATATTTTGTCAATAGTATTTTTTTCTTATTTATTATTATTTTGCTATTTACAAGTGTTTTGTCTGCAGGGTTTGTTAAAAAAAAACATAAAAGATTAAAACTTTGTTCCTTAATTGTCATTATTTTCTTAAATATACAGTATATATATATATATATATATATAGAATTTTTGTATACTTTTTCTATTTGTAAATTTTCTGCTAAGCATCATTGCAAGTCACTCTATAAAGACTTTAAAGGGATAGTTCACCCAAAAATGGCATCCAGGATTTAGGTGACTTTGTTTCTTCAGTAGAACACATATGATGATTTTTAACTCCACTGAAGAAACAAAGTCACCTACATCTTGGATGCCCTGGGGGTAAGCAGATAAACATCACATTTTCATTTTTGGGTGAACTATCTCTTTAAGTACTGTATACACTGAGATCCTCTATGCTTTGCTTACTTCGTCCTCCTCTTTTTACCTTCTGCTCCCCCGTTATTAGTACAGTATCTTTATTAGAGCACAAAGATATCTTTGTGTCTTTAAGTACTGTATACACTGAGATCCTCTATGCTTTGCTTACTTCGTCCTCCTCTTTCTCGTATTCTTGTCTCCTCTTTTTACCTTCTGCTCCCCCGTTATTAGTACAGTATCTTTATTAGAGCACAAAGATATCTTTGTGCTCCAAGCAATCACAAAGTGCTCAGAGTTTCAGCATCAAGTTCCCTCACCAGGGAAGAACAACAAGGGCACATAGAACGGATTATACTTCTTGCTCTCCTCCAATGCCATCGGTGCAAACATAAAGAGAGAGAGAGGGAGGGAAGACAGGTGTGCTCAGTCTGTAATGAACTCAGTATTATAGGATCACAGTAAGACAGGAATGGATTACGTACGTTGTCATTAGTATTAACATCACTGCTTGTGTCTTAAATAAACACCAAGCTTTTAGGACTGTTCCTCAAACTTCAGGACGTGGTTTCAACATTCATTCCCGGTAGGACTGCATTAAAGCTACCTTTTCTGTCATAGCTGTAAATTGTGCCACTGGAAGCTTTGTTTATCTGTCCCTCGCTCCACTTTCTCTCTCTCTCTTTTCCTCAAAACCAATCCGTTGTTAGCGGGAGGAGTCCCACCAGTGGACCTGAGGTACGGATAGCAGTGTTTCACGAGTTCGGCGGACCGAGGTCCGGTGGGGGGGTTTATCGGGGGTGTCGTCTCCGGTACAAGCGAGCGACATGCTCCCGCCTCAGAGAATCGCGGGCCGAGAGCGGAGAGCATTTCGCTGGCGGACCGCCATACCGTGGACCACGTAAGTGGACTCTGAATTTACAAAATAGATGCTTCAGTGTTAGATTTCCCTCAGAAAGTCTCTTACTTACCGTCTTCGTCGTAGAAAATTGTGAGTTTAAGTGACATTTTAAAGGACCGAGTCGTCTGGGAGCGTGACAGTGTGTTTTTCCCGCTGGATGCGCGAGCCGTGCCGGATTAATAACGGTCGCCTCCATGCGCGCGCTCCTTCTGAAACTTCACTGCTTAGTTTATTGGGTTTTGTTTTATTTCTCACTTACTATAGGCTACTTACTATAGCCTATATACACACAGTCGCAAAAAAAGTGTTATTTAATGTCATAGATATTATAGCCTACGTTTTCTAGTTTACTTTCCTCTAATCAAGACATTTGTGTTTGTGAATACAGTTTCCATGAAAAAGTGTTTGAAGGTTAGGTTAAAGTTTGAAGAAGGTTGAAGGTTGAAGTTAAATATGTTGAGAATAGTTGTCATCGTTTTAGTGACAGTGACCAATTATAAACCATGTATGAAAAATGCCCAGAGTTTTCATGTTATTAGATTTATAACAAAAATTTAATTTGTATCAAGGATGCGTTTTGCCCCAGGTGGGGGGCCCCAGTCTGACAAAGCAATTTGCTTTATACATTAACAGCAAAATCAGAGAACAGGCAGTTTTAGCTGAAAATCAAAAAGAATATAATCAAAAATTATGAATTACAAAATTATAATAGCCTATTTGAAAAATATTGTCAGCTGATGCTAAATGGCTAGCTAACTAGCTACCTGATGCTAACTTGAGGTAATTTTTAAATGTAAAGTCCAAATATTTTTATTCAACCAAATAGTTTGAATACATTTCATGAAAAAACAAAGGATTTAATGTTCAAATTTGTATCAAGGATGCGTTTTGCCCCAGGTGGGGGGCCCCAGTCTGACAAAGCAATTTGCTTTATACATTAACAGCAAAATCAGAGTACAGGCAGTTTTAGCTGAAAATCAAAAAGAATATAATCAAAAATTATGAATTACAAAATTATAATAGCCTATTTGAAAAATATTGTCAGCTGATGCTAAATGGCTAGCTAACTAGCTACCTGATGCTAACTTGAGGTAATTTTTAAATGTTGATGCTAAATGGCTAGCTAACTAGCTACCAGATGCTAACTTGAGGTAATTTTTAAATGTAAAGTCCAAATATTTTTATTCAACCAAATAGTTTGAATACATTTCATGAAAAAACAAAGGATTTAATGTTCAGAGCAACTACAGTAATTAAGCACCCTGGTGGTGTTTTGCCCCACAGACTAGGTTTGAAAAAAAATTATGTCATTCTGAAAATATAATTGACCTTACTATTCTCATATCATAACTGTGATGTTCTACAAAACAACAAGTTTTAAAACACTTTTTTCTTTCTGCTGAAAATTAGATCACTACTGTGAAATCCGTTTTCTCTCAGGTACATCACCAGTGTAAGCTTCATGGTGAATACTTCTGCATCACTCTTGTCAACGTATTCCATAGTTACAACAAAAATGTATCTTGACTTTATCTAATGGTCATTTTGGGAAAAACAGTAGGGGGCGTTTTACCCCACTCTACCCTATTGCCTGATGCCTTCTCACATCAAAACCAGACTTCAGTTCTGCTATAGAGTTGCAGTCTATTAATTTATATTTGCTTGAGAGAAAACAGTTCAACTTCATTGGGTCAGTCTTTACATTAAAGGGATTAGGTTACCCTTGGTTTACAATAGCAAGTAGGCCTACATTATACACTTTAAAATTGCAAAAGATACTTGAGACACCATTTGTGGTTTCGCAGATCACCCAACCCTCTGGAGAACCTCTAGAAACCCTTTCAAAAAGGTAATTCTCTGAAGAACTTAAAAACCCATAAGTTCCTGTTAGAAAACTATTGACTGTCAATGACTGCTCCAATATCATCATCATAAAAGAAAGATTTTGAGGCACTTGAAACGGATATTGAAGTTCCCAACATACACAATAGGATACCAAATGTGCTTGGAGGTTCACCAGAAATCTCATGTTACTTGAGTGAATTGCCTAATTACTTAAAGTAACATGGAAACTGTAATGTAAAGTGTCACATTTCATTGTTTACTGTTTATTTATTTATACTCGATTGTGCATTTAAGCTAAAGCAATGTTTCATATGCATGTAAAGGCTGTTGGAGCAACAGGCTTCAGCCAGATGTTTGTGTTATACTTAATCTGGTTGTGGTCCATGGATGCATAATGACATACTGGGAAGATGCGTTCATTTATTCACCCTCTAACTCACTTAAAGAATTAAATCCTATTATGGAAAACTGGCATGCAAGTGTGTTTTGTGTGCATATGTGTTATAAATGTGACAAGAGAGAAGAGGTTGAACTGCCTATTCCAGATGTTTCTGTGGCCTGAGGGAACTTGAGAGGTTTTGTTAGAGTTAGAATTTTTTCCTCATGTTTGCATGTGTTTCTCTCTCTGTGACCACAGCCTTCACCAAATCACTGTTTTGCAGAATGAGGGAAAAACACATAATTACTATGTATTGTGGTGTTTTACAGTTCAAAACATGTTGAGGACAAACATGCATACATGTTCAGTACTTGTAGGAATATTGTTTAAAATGTGACGATTCTAAGTCTTTATGCCCTCCAATTCTAATAAAACATTTTAACAGTGCACTTGTTCATGAGTTCATACAATCTTTTAGAGAGATAAATGCAGGCTGTTCTCATTAGAGGAGTTCAAGCATGCTGGAAAATTGTTTAAAGATGTTTACCTCACTCCTTTATTCACCTTTTGATGAATTAAATGCAGACTTTCATTTCAAACTCAATGTCAGTATGGTCCTTATAAAGTATTGTTTCCATATTTTTGCAAGAAAATATGTTTAGCTTTGTAACCTTGACTGTATTCATCATGAAATGCACTTGTGGATGCTTAAACAGGAATCCATTTAGACAACACAATTTAATTTAAACCCACACATACTTTAAACTGGATCTCTTGTGCTTTGCATTGAAGACACAAAGTAAATTATAAGCAAAGAGGTAGTCATGCAACAAGCCATGTGAAGTAAATCAAATATTAGAATATGTAAATGAAGCTGTCAGTCTGTTAACACACTAAAGCGTTCTGTTCCCTGACTGTGATTTGCGCTGTCTTTTGTGAAGTGACTTGGATCTTAAACAGTTCTGCTGGAGTTTTTGAACTGAAGGACTGCTGTTTCAGCACTAGTGGTTTCCTTGGTCTATGTGTGTGTGTGGCTTGATTATTATCATATTTATCACCCTAAACCCTAGTACATCCCTACAACTTATTTTATTTTATTCTATTCCTATTCCATCTATAGCACACCTGTACATACAATTTATTCTTTTTTTGTGGTTTATATGTATGCATGTGTATTTTATTCACATCTCACTTTTATTTTCTGTGTGTTGTTGTTGTCTCCGTGTACTGGAAGCTTGTGACACTATAACAAATTCCTTGTATGTGCAAACATACTTGGCAATAAAGCTCTTTCTGATTCTGATGAAAGTGCAGTCAATGACAGCCGCAGTCTAATTTTACCCCGGTAGATGTCCGTCTGTAATTCATTTATGCTGATCTGTAACATGACTCAAACCAAGCGATTCATGCCGTGGCCAAATAAAAACACAAGATCGAGAGAAAAAGAGGAGGAGAGAATTACACTGCTTAAACTTATTCCCTCTACGAACACATTCTTTTCTCATTTTGCAACCAGACAACTGAACTGCAATGGAAATCAAATACTCACAAAGTCTCTTACCTACAAGGTGAAACCCTGGCGGAAGAAGCAGTGGGACACAAACATCAAAAACGACCTGCTCACATGTGTATATATAGCATGACATAAACTTAAAAAAATATATTATGTATGTATATCTAAATATTATTTATTTAAAATTGAGAAAGAGAGCCAGCTGAATCTTAATCAATCATTTAGATATTCTTTGTTCTATAAAAATAAGGCTGCATTTATTTGATTAAAAAAACTGTAAAATTGTGAAAAAATATTGCAATTTTATTGCTGGCTTTTATTTTTATAATATTTTAAAAAATGTAAATTGTTCCTATGATGCAAAACTGAATTTTCAGCATCATTACTCCAGTCTTCACTGTCACATGATCTTTCAGAAATCATTCTAATATACTGATTTGATGTCTTATTATCAATGTTGAAAACAGATGTGCTGCTTAATATTTTGTGGAAAACGTAATACATTTTTTTCCAGGATTTTTTGATGAATACAAAGTTCAAAAGAACAGCATTTGTTTAAAATATTAAAATGTTGTAACATTTAAATGCCTTTACTTTCACTTTTGATCCGTTTTAATGCATCTTTGACCTTACAGAATAATTGTTTTTCCCCTTTTTGTGATATTGCAGTGCCATAAGAAAATTAGTGTACCTGTTTTCAACAGAGACTCTTTATTAACTTGCCAACTTAACTTGAAACTCCTTCGAGATAAATGCCATACTCAAAGGCACAATTGTTATATGGTTCTTAAAGTGCATATTGCAGGTTATTTTTTTTTATTTTGTTTTACATAATGAATATATAACCTTGTATGAAAATACCATATGAAAAGTTAATGTAGGATTTAAAATGTTTTACAAGACATTAGGGCACAAATTTAGCCGAAAAAGTGACCGTTTCTTTGACAGTCCTCAAAAAACGTTTTTTAAAAAATGTTTTTAAACATTGCGTCATTTTACATCACGAGAGGGATTTGCCGCGCTCTGCTTTGGCTCAGTGCAGAGTACTAGGTTGGTATTCAGTAGGAGCGGTCGTGAGTGAGTCAGTGTGTTCTCTGTAGTTTTTGTATTTCAAATTATCATCGTCATGGTAAATGATTGTGTTTGTGGGGGTTGCACAAACTCCTGGGTGCGTTTTGTGCAGGCGAAGAGACGGGACTTCACTTCTGCATCTTCTTCGAAAAACGCGGTGGTGTGTAGTGTTCACTTTAGACCGGAGGATTATCATCCCGGTGATATGATGGAGTTCAACATGGGATGCCGAAACAAGAACCAAGTGAGACTCAGCTGGTGCGGTTCCTTCGGCAGCACCTTCATCGGGTCCGCCATCAGCCTGTGGTTCGGCCGTTGGCGGGAAACATGATGGTCACGGATCCATCAGAGATGCTGCTCGACGAAAACGTGAACTGTGCACCGTAAGGCTTGTTGTTGTTGTTGTTTTTTTTTTTTACATTTGCTAACTACCAAATCAGTGAACATAATGATTTCAATAATGAGAAGCAACGTGATGTGTATAAGTTGTTGTAAAGCACCACAACTAGCTTGTAAGCATTAGCAATATTTTTTTTTAAACCGTCTAATGTGATCTAAACTTTTGCTTCCTTCTCCCAGCATATGCATCAGCCCTCATGGAGTCTCACCACAGGCTCTATGAGAACGAAGCACTCTCTTGTCTACCGCTACACCTGCTCCCCTTTCCAGATCCCTCCAGAGGATCAACAAGGATGAGGCTGTTGGCGTGTATCACAGCATTCACAATTGAACAAAAGTGAGTACACCCCTCACATTTCAGCAACCATTTTAGTATGTCTTCTCAAGGGACAATACTACAGAAATGAAACGTGGATATGTTTTAGTGTAGTCAATGTGCTGCTTGTATAGCAGTATAGATTTAATGTCCTATAACTTAACATACAGCCATTACTGTCAAAATAGCTGGCAACAAAAGTGAGTGAACATGTCAAAACAGTGTCCAAAGTGTCAATTATTTGTGTGAGCACCATTGTTATCTAGCACTGCCTTAATCCTCCTGGACATGGAATTCACCAGGGCGGCACAGTTTGTTGCTGGGATCCTTTTCCACTCCTCCATAATGACATCAAGGAGCTGCTGGATGTTAGACACATGGTGCCAACCTTCCGCTTGAGGATGCCCCACAGGTGCTCAATAGGGTTTAGGTCTGGAGACATACTTGGCCACTCCATCACCTTCACCTTCAGCTTCCTCAGCAAGGCAGTTGTCATCTTGGTGGTGTGTTTGGGTTGTTATCATGTTGGAATACTGCCGTTCGGCCCAGTTTCTGAAGGGAGGGCATCATGTTCTGCTTCAGAATGTCACAGTACATGTTGGAATCCATGTTTCCCTCATTGAAGCGCAGCTCCCCAGTACCAGCAGCACTCATGCAGCCCCAGGCCATGATGCTACCACCACCATGCTTGACTGTAGGCAAGACATAATCTTCTTGGTATTCCTCACCACACATGCTGTACACCATCTGAGCCAAACAAGTTTATCTTAGTCTCATCAGACCACAGGACATGGTTCCCGTAATTCATGCTCTTGGACAGGTTGTCTTCAGCAAACTGTTTGCAGGGTTTCTTGTGAGCCAGATTTAGAAGAGGCTTCCTTCTGGGTCGACGGCCATGCAAACCGACTTGTTGCAGTGTGTGGCGTATGGTCTGAGCACTGACAAGCTGACCTTCCGCTTCTGCCACCTCTAAAGCAATGCTGGCAGCACTCATGCATCTGTTTTTTGAAGCCAGCTTCTGCCCCTGATGCACAGCACGAGGACTCAACTTCTTTGATCGATCCTTGTGAGGCCTGTTAGCTGTTACAAGCAGGCCTGTCGCAATAATCAGTATATCGACTTATCGTGCAGTATATGTACATGACCTCAATAATTTTTCGTGATGCAATATATCGCCCATTATATTTACTTAAAAATTCATGTCACCATGTTTTGTACATTCCACTTGCACCTGTGTCTTTTGCAGCTTCTCGTTCATAACACGGTGTAGTCATGAGGTGCTAGTTCAAATGTAAAAAATTTTTCTACAAAAAAGTTTCATTTGCAGATGTGGTCTTGTTTAGGGATCTGTGCCTTTGTGTATACGGACATCTGACTGCTAAGTAGTGATTGTGTTTGTCAGCAATAATGTGCACTCTTAATTTCTCTGTAAAAGAAACCATCTAATATTTTGATACTTAATTTCCATTACCTAAATATTCTTAAAAATTAAGTTTGTTGCCATCTGGAAGTGTGTAGGCCTTCTTGCATTATTATGCTGTTACATTATGATTATATATTCAGTGGCATAAAATGGTCTTTAAAATCGCAATTATTTCTGGGGCAATATATTGCACAACAAAAAGTTGTTATCGTGACAGGCCTAGTTAAGAGTGCAACCCGTCTTGGAAAACCTCTGTATGACCCTGGCCACTGTACTCTAACTCAGTTTCAGGGTGTTACCAATCTTTTTATAGCCTAGGGCTAGGCCATCATTGTGGAGAGCAACAATTCTAATTCTCAAATCCTCAGAGAGTTCTTTGCCATGAGGTTCCATGTTGAACATCCAGTGGTCAGTATGAGAGAATTGTACTCAAAGCACCACATTTTACTGCTCTAATACAAGATACACATTTGTATGGTCCTGTCAAGCAGACAAAAACATGAACATGATGAATAGGACATGTGGCTTTGCATGGTTAAATGATGTACAGCTGGTATCACTTAGGGTGTATGTTGCCAGCTATTTTGACAATAATGGCTGTATGTTAAGTTATTTTCAGAGGATAGTAAATCTATACTGCTTCACAAACAGCACATTGACTACTCTAAAATATATCCAAGTTTCATTTCTATAGTATTGTCCCTTGAGAAGATATACTAAAATGGTTGCTGAAAGGTGAGGGGTGTACTCACTTTTGTGAGATACTGTATATTTTAACAGTTGAAATGTTGTGTTTTGAGTTGGGTATTAACAGTGCTATGAGATAACTTGTGTTATGATTTTGTGCTATATAAATAAAACTGAATTGAATTAACCATAAATGCAGATCTGCTTGATATATATCTGATCTAAACTTAGATAAACATTTTTTTATACAGTAAGACAATTTGTGATTGTGAGTATTTTTTATTGATTGTCACCTAAATGGGGCCATTCAAAACTTTTATAAAGTCCTTCCTCTGGAAACTGCCTTCTAATGGCTGACACAACACATGCAGGTAAGGGCTTCCTGATGTGCCTGCCCAGAATGCCATAGGCCCAGTGGACAACTTGCCTGTATACTGTGTAGCGGTATTTTCTGTAGATAGGGACAAGATATCAATATTGATTGTCTTATACCAATGGAATCAAGTAGTCATGACCTAAATATAGGCAACGTGTAATTGAGAAACAAAATTATTCAGATTGTTATAATATTCAAATCTTTAATGTACTGTTTATTCATACAAGTATTTAGCTCGGAGTAATAAATTATCTCTGCCCTAAACATAATCATGTTTGCTGGCCCGGAGATGGCCATGCTCCTGTCTGAAGTGCATATAGGCTATCTGTAGCACATATGGGTCCGACAGCAAGCCTCAGCCTGGGAGTAGAGTCATGAGGGCCTTTCGCACCGCTTTAGTTCCAGAACTAAATGTACAGTACTAAAGTACTGGGACGATTTTTCGCGAACTACTTCACAGTACCATTTAAAGGGTTGCATTCGCACCGACAGTGTGTACTAGGAAGTGACGCAAGCCGGTCGAAAGCGTCGTCATTTGTGCGCGGCGTTCAACAACAACATGGCGTTTTCATACGCGTTTGGCCAATCAATGTCTACTTATGTCACGATTAATACCAGTTGTGCTGGTTAGACCCTGCTCCGGAGTAGGAGCTAATTTGGTTCTCGAGAAAGGCAGTCCGGTACTAAAATCGCACCCAGTTCTGGCAGTGCGAGAAAGTGGGTAGTTCCACAATTAGTTCTGGTACTATGAAAAGGTTCCCGCTGTGCGAAAGGCCCTATGCACTGCACGTCAAGTGTGGAGGTGACATTCTCCACTAGTATGCATCCAACTCCCTGCAGCACTGACTTTCCTCAGCTGTGATCATGGCCTCGCATTTTCCACACAAGCACCTATGAAACGTGTTTATCTCCATCCCTCTCTCTCTCCTGTGGTGATGAGATACTGCTATATCACGAAACGTTAGTGTGGACGGATATGGTGTAGACATACACCTGATCAACGCTTATTAGTTTCTGTTAGTACTGGGAAGTTTCAATACTTGTATCGTTAGCTAACACTGGCCTCTCACCAAGACACCTGCCCTGTTCTCCACTGGTTCTCTTCGCACAACTCAAATTTGTCGTCTCTGACGTTCTGTCTAATCCTGGCCTGTCCCTGCTCTTTTGGCCGCATAGCAGGCTCATAATTGTATGGCTGTGGTCCGTTATACGAGTGTGAATGAACATTTACAATTTCCTCAGCGTCCGAACTGTCATTGCCATCCATTGTTTAAAATTTTTTTTTAAAATTATGCATCAAACATTAAACAAATACATAAAAGACAGAACAGATAGAACCTCTACCTGATAAACAAAGGAAAACAAATATATCACATCTTGTAAAGTTTCTGCTACAAATGAAAATAAAGACAAATAACAAAAAAAAAACTATTAAATAAAGAAATAAATGAATAAAATAAGATTATAATAAAAATATAAACACATACAGAGGAAACCCTTATGGATCTGTGGTATATGACCGCGCGCCCTCCCGTTACGTCACTTCCGATTTGACGGTTTTCAGAAGCGGATGTAAATTTTACTCACAAAATTTACTCGAGGCCTCCGTAGCGTGTTTATAAGTATATTTTAAATAAAATCTAGTTCATACATTTTTTTCCCTATATATTGACTTAATGGGGTCTCTAACCTGCAATATGCCTTTTAATAACAGGAACTGCTGATGCCTTCGCAATGTTTGCGTCACTGAACACAATGGTTCAACAGTTAGGTAGTCGATCACCAAATGATGTCCCACGCTGCTTATCTTCTCTCAGTACACTTGATCTTATCGTCTATTCAGCTAGCATGTATATGCACACATTACATTCGCTTTGTTGTTGAGCCTGTGCTTCTTTCGGAACTCTGTGTTTACAGGTGCGTGAGAGTGGCGTGTTGCAGTCGCCTGCGCTTCATGTGGTTCGCTCTGGTGGTCCTGACGGTCCTCTGCGGGGCACTGCAGATGCTGGGAGTCGTCCGACAGGCCAGGTAGATTATGTTTTTATGAAAAATTCACGGTGACTTGCACATAGCGAATTATAAACAGACTGAGGAAGACTTTTCAACTGTGCGTTAACAGCTTGCATTGTACGATGTTTCCATTAAGGGCCATACAAATATCTTGTCAAAGTTACAAACTCACTATAAGCATATATTATATTATATTCATATATTTTTAACATTTCCATTGAACGATATTTCCATGAAATGCAATGTGGAAAAACTTGACGAAGTTACAAACTTATAAACATATAAGAAGTATTAAAAACATATATTATATTATTAAAACATATATATTATGAACATATAGAGGAGACTTTTCAAGATTTAACAGCTTGCTATGGTCAATATTTTTTAGTTAAAGGCAATGGAAATATCTTGACAAAATTACAAACTTATTATAAATGTATGTTATATTATATTAACTAGAGCAAGACTTTTTAACAGCTTTCGTTGGATGATATTTACATTAAAGGCAATGGAAATATCTTGACAAAATTATGAACTTATAAACATAGACATATATATTACAAATATGTATGTTTTAGGGAGACGTTTTATCTCAGAATTAACAGCTTGCCTTGGACAATATGCAATGTAAATATCTTGACAAAATTACACATTTAATATAAACATGTATTAAAAAACATTTACATTATATCATATTCGACTTTACAGCTTGCGCTGGACAATATTTTCATTAAAGGGAATATATTATAGAGGCCATAAAATATTACTGATTTGTGTTGGTTCCATAAGGGTTAGCACAGGGGTGCCCAAACTGGGTCCTGGAGGGCCGGTGTCCCGCAGAGTTTAGCTCCAACTCCAATCAACACACCTGAAGCAGCTAATCAAGCTCTTACTAGGCATACTAGAAACTTCCCGGCAGGTGTGTTGAGGTAAATTGGAGCTAAACTCTGCAGGACAACTGCCCTCCAGGACCGAGTTTGGGCACCCCTGGGTTAGCATCTAAAATGTACTCTCTCTCTCTCTCTCTCTCTCTCTCTCTCTCTCAGGAGCTCCAAGGTTTTGAAACTTGTGAGTGAGCAGCTGGTCAGAATGCCTGCAGAGATGTACAGGCCCGTAAAGCACAAAGACTGGGAAAACCTTTGGTCTGTTTCAGCAGCCATTGTTGAGGAACCATTAGACCTGCAACCTTTCATACAAAGAAAAGACGAGAGTGAAAACCCTCATTCAGAAGAGGGAAGGGACCAAGTCTTGGAGGATACAAGAAAAAAGCTTTCTAGCTCTACCAAAGCAGCTCCACCAATAGAGGCGATTAAACTATGGCTTGACCAATATTTTCCAAACCAGCCACAGAGGCCAGCTTTCCCCAAAAGGACCCCAGAAATTCACAAACCTCCACCCTCTGATGACAAAACTGATAAACAAACAGTAAAATCACTAGTTGACGATACTGCCATGTGTCATCCCAAAAACCACATCGTCTTCCTCAAGACGCACAAGACTGCCAGTAGCACCATACTGAACATTCTCTATCGTTATGGGGAAAGCCATAATCTGACCTTTGCCTTGCCGCTGAACATGCAGAGCCAGTTATTTTACCCAGCATTCTTTGCAGCACACTTTGTGGAGGGTGTCAGGACTCGCAGCGTGGAGGAGTTCCACATCCTGTGCAATCACATGAGATTCAGCTCACAGGAGGTCAGTCCGAGAGCACATTACCCAGCCTTTGGATTCAAAGAGAGAGATGTACCAAAGCATGCATTCGAAAGTAGTTGTGTTGCAGGATTGGATGAGTAATAGAATATGGTCTTTAATAGAGTATGCACTGGTCAATTTTGAGATTTTGGGCTATTTAGCTTCCATGTAGTTTTTCAGGCTAGATAGAAGACACCCAAAATGCATATTTAAGTGCTTATTACAGTTTATCTATTTGTGTCTGTAGAGTTCAATTACAATCCATACCTTTAAAGGCTGTTTAAACCACATCGTCTTCCTCAAGACGCACAAGACTGCCAGTAGCACCATACTGAACATTCTCTATCGTTATGGGGAAAGCCATAATCTGACCTTTGCCTTGCCGCTGAACATGCAGAGCCAGTTATTTTACCCAGCGTTCTTTGCAGCACACTTTGTGGAGGGTGTCAGGACTCGCAGCGTGGAGGAGTTCCACATCCTGTGCAATCACATGAGATTCAGCTCACAGGAGGTCAGTCCGAGAGCACATTACCCAGCCTTTGGATTCAAAGAGAGAGATGTACCAAAGCATGCATTCGAAAGTAGTTGTGTTGCAGGATTGGATGAGTAATAGAATATGGTCTTTAATAGAGTATGCACTGGTCAATTTTGAGATTTTGGGCTATTTAGCTTCCATGTAGTTTTTCAGGCTAGATAGAAGACACCCAAAATGCATATTTAAGTGCTTATTACAGTTTATCTATTTGTGTCTGTAGAGTTCAATTACAATCCATACCTTTAAAGGCTGTTTTCGCAGAATACGAAATCAACACTTCAGAAGCACCAAACTTATTTTCTATCTATATTTTGAAGGTTTTTACAGAGGGGTTTGTTGTTCATATATCATTCGCCTGGCTTATATTGCATTTTGGTTCTAAAACCATGTTGGAACAATTTTTTTTTCTGGCTGTTGACAGTGTTTTCTGATTTATGGAGTGATAAAAAGAGATATCCAAAATTACCTCTGTAAAAACCTTTATCTCTGTCAACAAAATGAATTATTATTTTTTTTTTTTTACAAAACAATTATCCTAGTAATGCATAAGAACAGATGGACTCCAAATAAAAATGTAATGCTTATTATTTTATAATTTATTTTAATTAATAATTTTGTATTAATAATGTTTTATTTAGAGTCTTGTCTGTTTTTTGCAGCACAAGGTAAAAAAAATGGAAATGCATTAAAACCTGGACACTTTTTAATTAAATAAATTGCATTATGTGAGATTTTAATCTAGTGATCCAAGGGAACAGACAGACTCTAAAAAAAAAAACGTAATGGTTTCTCTTATATATATATATATATATATATGCACAAATTTTTTTTCATTTTTAATTGTTTTTAATATTCTGTGATTTTAATGTTATATTTATTTTGCCTTATATTTAATTGGTTAAGCAATTACCATCAATAACCTTTGAGGTGAATATTTTTGCAATTTTGTCAAGACTGTGGTGTGAAAGCAATCTTAGATATGCGTAGACCACTTAGCAAGCACATAAAACATTTGAAACAACTGACTATTTTCATTTTAAAGAGGAAGATGAAGCACCCAGTGCTAGACAAAAGTAGGCAGTTGCAGAACTGAATTATTTAGAGGACATCTGCACTGATAGCATGTAGTTTGCATTCTGGGATGGAATTTCAGTTGGGATGTGTGTATGACTCTGACACAAAGAGCAAGAGGTCAAAATTTCATCAGCTTGTACTTAAACAGTGACGGAAAGCTGAATAAAAGATTGTATTCATAAGTTCATATTGTCTTTTCTGACTTGCAGGTGAGGAAAGTGATGCCTAAAGACACATTCTACTTTTCCATTCTTCGGAATCCAGTGTCGATGATGGAATCCCTGTTTGTTTACTACAAAGCGATCCCAGCTTTCCGTACTGTCAAAAGCCTTGAGGAGTTCCTGATCCAGGGTGGGCGGAGTTATAATGCCTCTGTGCCTAATAACCACTATGCACGTAACATTCTGACCTTTGACTTTGGTCTGGATAATACAGCACCCGAGAACGACACCGAGCTCGACAAACGTAGCGCCGAGGTCATCGCCGCCGTGGAACGCGACTTTCCGCTGATCCTCATCTCGGAGTATTTCGATGAATCGCTGGTGCTTCTAAAACACGCCCTCTGCTGGTCACTGGATGACGTTTCATCTTTCCGACTCAATAGTCGCAGTGAACGCTCTCGCAGGCCCTTGAGCGCAGAGATCGCAGAGTGGGTAAAAGAGTGGAATTCACTAGACTGGCGATTATACCAGCACTTTAATGCCACTTTCTGGAAACGCATAGACTCCACACTCGGGCGGGCGAAGCTCCAACAGGAAGTTGAACTTCTGAGTGCAAAGAGGAGGAAGCTGGAGAAAATGTGTCTTCAGGAAGGAGGGGCAGTAGATCCTGCGCAGGTCCAGGATTCATCACTGAAGCCGTTTCAGTATGGCGCAGCAGTTATTCAAGGTTATAACCTCCGACTGGGGTTAAGTAATGCCACTCGTCAGCTTTGTCATAGGTTGATTACACCTGAACTACAGTACACCTCAGCTTTGTACACCAAACAGTTCCCTCATCTGGCAGATGTGCGTGCCGTTGCTGCAAACAAGTTTGCGGCTTCCAGAAGCACTGCAATGCACAGAGCTGTTAAGCACTATTTTGACCTCACATACCAATACAAATAAAGTCATTGTGGATGAACAGCTTTACACAGTTTAGCTAATTCTGTTGTCCATAATGAGAGACAAAATCATTTTGATGTAACAAAACACTAAGAATAAAGAAATAAAAAGTAACTCACATAAACATTCCACACAAACATACTTTTTAAACTCAAACATACACAAGGAACCACAAAAATCTGGTTTATTGAGATGAATTAACCAATTTGAACTCCGAATAAAAATAGATAACTCAAAGGAGCTATCAAATCAAACGAGATTTGGCTGGCTAAAAATCTCCAATGTCCATCGTAAATAGTGTAGCGATGTATGAAGCACAGCTCACAACAGGTTTTCTTTTTTTTCCCCTTTTATACAGGTTCCATTCAGTACGGTCAAATTTTTTTTTTTTTTTACAGTGCTTTTAACAATTGTCCTCATCTGGCAGATGTGCGTGCCGTTGCTGCAAAAAAGTTTGCGGCTTCCAGAAGCACTGCAATGCACAGAGCTGTTAAGCACTATTTTGACCTCACATACCAATACAAATAAAGTCATTGTGGATGAACAGCTTTACACAGTTTAGCTAATTCTGTTGTTCATAATGAGAGACAAAATCATTTTGATGTAACAAAACACTAAGAATAAAGAAATAAAAAGTAACTCACATAAACATTCCACACAAACATACTTTTTAAACTCAAACATACACAAGGAACCACAAAAATCTAGTTTATTGAGATGAATTAACCAATTTGAACTCGGAATAAAAATAGATAACTCAAAGGAGCTATCAAATCAAACGAGATTTGGCTGGCTAAAAATCTCCAATGTCCATCGTAAATAGTGTAGCGATGTATGAAGCACAGCTCACAACAGGTTTTCTTTTTTTTCCCCTAATAACAGCAAACACCCTAAAATAAAATTATACATAAAATGTATGAACTTCATTGTATTCGATAAAAATATCAAACCAGGTGAAATCAACAAACTAAATATATTAGAATTTTCTCAGAATTAACTGGTGTTAATGTGATATTTATGAAATCGGAAGACATCAGATCGATCACATGTAGTTCAACATGATCCAAGTCTAAAAGTCCAAATAATTCGTTTTTATAGGTTAATTTGATCATTTAAAGCCTAATAAATGTCGTTTCATACAATCATTTAATTGAAAAGTGAACTTGGGCTATCTTTCTTTAAAATGAGCACCGCTTGGTTTGGTGTTGTATGACAAGTGTGGTATAAGTGTTCAAGTATTTAATATAGCCTCTGTTTCTCTCAAGTGGAGCCCTAATTAATGTAAATGTTCTGTATTACGATGGACTTAATGCAATGACCATCTAAAACCAGTCTGGAAACCGAATGCATCATTGAGGCCAATTTTAAAGGAGAAAGCAGACTTGCAGTATGTTAAGGGCTAATGCTGATTGCCAAGTTTTACCAGCCTTCCTGAGACTCTGAAGGACCTGGACCTTGATCATTACCCAGAATGACTTACCAGGCTTCATAAAAGATCATCTGAACCAAAGTCTCAGAGCTTTAATCCAAATTTCTCTTTAATGTTATAGAGCAATATACTGTATATGTGTGGCACCTTATTTCAAATCTCTGAAAGCTACAGTGCATTTGCAACTGTTTCATATTTATTAATAAAAGATGATTCTCTGGTGATGGTTGTCTTCTCTGTACAAAACAAGCATGAAACCCGCTTTGTGCCTCGAGGTCACATATTAAGAATCAGACCCACAGTCTTGTGTAACAGTGGATTTGTCACTCACCCAAAAAGCCAAAGAGCAGAGGAGCTGCTGTGTTTGAAGGCTAGCGCTCACTAAGATGTTATTGTGCATTTTCAGTGACTAGCAAAATCACAGTTTAAAACCACATGCTCACATTTTTTACTTAAAATAATTATATCCTGGTTAAGGGTGTCTTATCTGTATTATAATGTGCATGTGTTGAAGTCACTATGAACTATTTTAATATTAAGCATCCATCCATGAGTCCATGTGGCTTTGGAAACCATGCACTTTTTGGCTGTCCACACTTTAAGATGAGATAATTTATTATAGGTGATTTCATATTATTATAGTTGTTGCTGTTACTATTGTTGTTGTTATTTTTATTATATTTTTTGCATTTTCATCACCACAAACACTCTCAAACAAAATAAAATTTCACCTATCATTTTGATGCATGGTTATTGAACAAATGGAATGCAATTTTATTATGTATAATAATAATAATTATTATTATTTTAATGTATACATGATAAAACTGCAATCCATCAGTTCAGTAACCACGCATCAAAATGATAGATAAAACAACTTTTGAGTTTGAGTTTGGTGTTTGTGTCATTGACTGTCGCCCTCTTGTGGAGACACGTGAAAGCACTTTAGCACGCTAAAGCTTCCCGCCAAAACAACACAACAGCTGAGAACGTCTCTTCAGGTTTGCATCTACACAGATCCGGTTGGAGATGAATCAGTTGGACTAGCTCTGGTGAGTAATTTACCAAATATTACAGTACATGGCTGCTCAGCAAAAAGTGGAAAGAGTTGTGCAAAAAGTAAACTAGTTACCACAAAACTTATTTTGAGGAAAACCACACAGACAACTCTGGCCAATTAGAATCAGAAGAGCATTTGACATGTTGTCTAACAATAATTTATAGATTTTTTTTTTTTTTAAAAGCTTGAAAAAAGTGATGTGTCCATAAATAGTGTAAACAGAAATCTAAATCGTTCAAATTGAGGCAACTGGCAATCCTTCAAACCATTGTAAGCTGTCCAAAAGCTATTTTGTTTATTTACGTTTTTATTGACTGTGATTCAGAACACCAAATTACCTCAGTTTTATCTTATTGATAACTAGCTATAGTAGCAATGGTATTTTGCTGAAAATCATGGTAACAAAAAAAAGAAAGTAAGGTTTGTTTTTGGCTTTTTTGGGAATTATAATGTAATATGAACTTTTCAGACAGCATTTTTCACACGCCTACTGTTTAGGAAGGGTGGAGCTGATGTTTGCCAAAATGATATTTTGGAACGTAATGTGGGTTGAAAACACCTCTATCCTTAGAGGTTTCTATCTTTTATGTGTGTTGCATTTGGAGGAATGTTGCCTGATGTAATTTGGACTCTATTATTTGCACTGGAGCTTCGTCCTGACAGAATCTGTGCTGTGCTGTGCCTGGAGAAAGAAATTAAGTATTGTGGATCAAATAAAAAAAATCCTAAAAGACTAGAAAGTTGGAAAGGGTTTAAGAGAGACATATTTGAAAACTTTTTTTCCCTCTTTTATTTGTCATAATTACAAGCAGTCAAAAGTTTCACCCTCCCACAGCGTCTCCAGCATCCTCAGACACGGACTGAAAGCAGCAGCCGTTCTGAAACACCCACACCATCCGCAGTAATATAGTCATTAGTGTCAGAGTTTCAGCCTGAATCATGAGACCTGAAAAGCATATGCGTTCACATTATTCTGACTGACAACCCAGCAACGAAACAATCCACGAGTTACGATTCACTGTCACATTGTTCTGAAAGTATAACCATAATAGTTAAGCATTGTGTTGACAGTGTGAGACTGGAGTGATTCAATCATTATCGACCTGTGCAAAGTTAAATAAAATTCTGTCATTATTTTCTCCTAAAATTAAGTCCTGTTTGATATATATTTCTTCTGAAGCCATTTCATAGCATGTTTTATTGACCTAAACTGTAGCCTTCCCTTCGATATTAAAATATGGAGCAAATTATGACATCATTTTAGGTAAACTATTGCTTTAATTACTGCTTTCAAATTGTGTGTAAATCTATACAGCATTATTATTGTGAGATGGATTTTAAAATAAGGAATATCATCATTACAACATTTATGAATGGCACAAGTTTGGGGTCGGTAAGATTTTGAAAGTCTCTTATGCTCACCAAAGCTGCATTTATTTGATCAAAAATACAGTAAAAGCTGTAATGTTGTGAAATATTATTGCAATTTAAAATAACTGTTTTCTATTTGAATATACAATATTTATTTCTGTGATGCAAAGTTGAATTTTTCAGCATCATTACTCATCATCATGTCTTCCGTGTCACATGATTCTTCAGAAATCATTCTAATATGAGAATTTGCTGCTCAAGAAACATTTCTTATTATAATAAATGTTGAATACAGTTGTGCTGCTTTATATATTCGTGTAAATCGTGATACATTTATTCCAGGATTTTCTTTACTGTCACTTTTACTTCGTTTAATGCATTCTTAAATGCATTAACGCTAGTATGTTACTTTTTATATTATTTTCCAGTTTAAATTATATAATACATAATGTTTACATGAATGAGTAGTCTGTTAGTCTGTGAATATCTCTGTCTTCAGTATCTTCAGTGTGTGTATGCCAGTATTAGTGAGGCATCCAGTTGACTTTATAAATGAGCTGTGCTCTTTTTATGAGGTTTATGTAGCTGCAGGCTTTCACTGAAGAAGTGCAGTTTGTTGAGTGGAGCTGAACACGTGCTGTTTTCATGACATTTGATGAGACCATAGACGTCAGATATCACAACTCACAAGATCAGGGATGATTTATTTATGGTTGCACACAGCTTTAACATGGGTTAAATAAAAGGACATTGTTCAACTTGAATCCATTTTTGGATTTATTATAAATGGTGCAGTAATGATAATGAAAAAGCAGTCAAAAACAGTCCAGATTTCTTCAAACCAAACTAATAATAACAGTCCATAACACAAAGAGGAGTAAATTTAAACAAAAATGTAATAAGATGTACCACAGAAGAAAGGGAGTATTTAACTGCTCTTTAATGACTGGAAAATGTAGAACAGATGTGCTGTGACTGAAGCAATGAATCTTTAGAAAGTCTAATGAGAGTGCCCTCTACTGACTGATGCAGATATTTATTTATTTTATATATTTTTTATTTTACATTTTTATGTTTTATTTTATTTTATTATAAAATAATTTATTTTATTTAATTTTAGTTCGACTTTATAAAATATTTTTTTTCTTTTTTCTTTATTTTATCATTTTATTTTATTCTGTTAGTCACTGTAAACGACCATCAGTCCCTGTTCACAAGGGGGAACCCAGGGGTCAGAGTTCGACTGGTTAGCATGGCCTGGTTAGCCTCTGCTAGCAGATGTCGTAGCTTCACCATCTGGCTACAAAAACATCTTTCTCCATTCACACTGACAGCCATTCAGAAGGAGCTGTGTGTACTGGTGGAATACAGTTTTGTGTGTATGAATTGCAAATGCAACATTATATTAAAGTAGATGTTTTTAATATTTTATTCAGTCCATAATATTTGTCAAAAATATGCTTAATATATAATATAAACAGCACGGCCTAAGGAAATATATTTTTTAATTGATTTAAACATTAAAA